CAACTTCTCAAAAAATGTAAATATTTATATTAATTGTATTTTCTTTTGACATTTGAGATTAAATATACCAGTGCAAAAGGTTTCTTCAAAGTAAAAATATTTGTAATGAATAAACTAAATTCAACTTTCAAAATTGTGACATGCTTTACAACAATTTTCTGAATAACTCTAATCAGAGTAGTTTTTTCAATAATTACTGCATATTTGAAATAACTTATTTCAGATTTAATGTTGGCCTAATCTGGTAAAATATTCGACAGAAACAAATCCAACATGGCAGTCGATGAGTGGTCGGATAAAAGCATAATAATCCTGGCTCCTGAATACCTTGCTTGCAGCCACCGAGGAGTGCACCACGAACATAACGACAGAGAAATTTCTGTTAATGAAACAGAACAATGCAATGTTCTTCCTTCATACTTGTACCATACAACTTTAACAGCTCAGGAGTGGGGTCATCCATCATACTATGGTACACACATACATGTGTCCTGTATTTAAAGATGTTGCACACTCCCATTTCTACTGGTACACAAAAATATAGAAATTATTTGGTGACGTCACAGTATTCTATATCACATACTAAGGGAAGCACTGGAAACAAATTCATCTGTAAGTGTGCTATTTCATTCATTTACATCGTGTAATAATGAATCTATTATATAACAATTATTACACAACAGTCTGAGTTATATTACTGGTATATTTCTGATAACATATACAGATGTTTCACGATATCACTAATTTTCTATTTATGTTAAAAAATACTGGCTTATTTCCCAGGGTTAGGCTAATACAATGTGTTGTTAATATTTACAGTAAGTGTTTCACAAATGAAATGGCCAAATGGCAGCCCTTTTAAGATTAAAATGTTATCACATATGTTCACCATTCATCATTATATCAGACAAATGCACATGAATTCTTGTCAGCATCAAATTCAAAATGTCTGACAGTGGACAGTTCCACAGAGCCATTATTTCAACAGGCTTGGACCAATCATGTTAAAGCTACACACATATATCACACATCAGGTTATATATCTCATGTCTATAATAAAAATGAGGAATATGACACAGCCAATGAATAGTTTAATTTGAACTTCCAGATAAGGTAAACGTAATTCCCCAATCATCAAATTATTGTACAGTATAACCCCTGTTTTACAAAGTTTTATTGAAAACACACTTTCAGGCCAGCTGCTTTGATGTTTTCAGTTGAGAAATTAAGACCAGTAGCAACACGGCTTGTATCTATTACAAGAAATCAATATATCCAACCTAATATAACCTGTTATAATGCTGACCTTTGGAGGTACATACCAATTAAAACTAGTTAAAAAACCTACTGAAAATATTCATGTGTTAGTTAACTTAAATGTGTGTGCAAATGATGAGTATCTGTTAGCTAGATCAGTAGACATTTAGTTCATAAGCGGAGTATTCACATGTGAGCACCCTTGATCTCCCCAATGTCGTGTACAACATCAACTACAACCAAGTAAAAGCTTTGTATTGAAAATCATTAAATATATACAAACACAGGTTCTCTACTCATTGATATGTAGAGAAAGCATTTTATACTCGGTGCTATGACCTCTATGGCACATCCCACTAACCCCACATAGCACAGCAAACAGTTCACTTTGTCAAGACACCCATTTTGATGACTGAGCCCCTGGTGCATATTAGTTGCGTTTCCTGCGCATATTGATGTCTCCACAATATCCTGGTTCCAGTGGATTTCAATACGAACTTGTCTGACTCCATGCTCGCTGGTTTACCACATCTATACACATGTACACCGGGTAAACACTTTTTACTAAAGGTGGGTTATGTTAAAAAAACAGTTGCTATATCGTTTTTGTTTTGTTATTTATTACATCCCCAAAGAAATTCAGTTTTTGACGGCATCTGTCTGTATTAATTCCCATGAAATATTCCAACATATTGTCTAATATGAGTGATATGATTTTGTCCAAATAGTTGATAATAACTATAATATTAATTTTACCAGATAAACGTCACCCATGGAATCAAATGTGTTTGGGGATGGATGATGGATTTGTCTAACTAACGATGCATCCTTAGAATGTCTATACTATACATGACGATCAAATGTCATGGAACGCGGGTATGCGGGGAACCAACTGTTGGTTGAAGTCCATCACAAACCAACCTTGAATTTATCATTGCCATATGTTACACACATTTATAGAACCACTGGATGTCTCATATACATGGTTTAAAGATTCTAGTAGTGATTAACAATAGTATCAACAATACAAATCAGGGGGTAGAATTTCAAAACGTTTAGTCTAAAGTATAACTTTACTTAACAAGGGTATTGTTATATCCTTATACAGATTATTATGACTGAACGTATATCTTGTCTAATAAATTATGGTACGGAATATTATGACAGAATGGGCGTACTATTTGGACCCAACAAAGCAGCAGTAACCTCAACTGGCAATCAAAACATCAAGAAAGCTCTGGCGAAATTGAAACGAGACCCATCATATGAACTACGTGTTTTAGCAATTGGTAGCGCGACCGGTAAGTACTGCAGTTCATAATAATAATTATTTGTATGTATAATAATATTGCTCTGGTGTGTTTACAAGAAACCATTTAAAACACATGAAAATACAAGTAACTTGTTGAATATGGAGATAAAATTTATCTCTAGGTTTTGTTATTAAAAGTTTTAGTTCACTGTATTTATTATATTGTGACGTAAAATGCGGGTGGGGCCTTTGTGGGGCTACTCCGCATTCAGGAGCTGGAAGCTTGTCTTTAATACAGGTCTGGTGTCTAATAATAGACATCTCTGGTAGCGTGCTTATCCTATAAGTCTTCTCCCTTCAGCTTGTCCGCTTTCACGGGTTGGGGATCGTTTTGGTTAAAATATATTACCACAACTGAGGCAGTGCAGGGAAGGAAATATACTGATAACGAATACAATAAATAAAAACAACACAATATATAAGGTTTTCTTCACTTTAATACATAACTAGTACAGGGTGCTAGTCACAAGAACCAGCAAGGATTGGGGATATACAGTAAACAAATAAAACTTAGGACATGATCGATGCTGCAGGGAACACTCCACTCTCCGGTGAACAGCAATGTACAATGTTGCGTTCCGTCGTATCTGGCACACTGTCAAAGCAGCTGCACTACACACTCGTGCTCTGTGTCCAGGAAGTATCGGCAACTGCACTGCTATCTGCTGATACTAGTAGCACCGGTACGACGGGAGCATTTCGGGGAGTAAGCGTCATTGGTCTTGTTGATCAGCAGTGAATACTGCACAGCACGTCTGTATAGAGTACAGCTCACTGAAGTCAAGAATCAGCATCACAGGATGTTACATGATCAATTACTTGTCTCAACTTAAATACTACAACTAAATTATGGCCAAGGAAATGATTGATTATCTCGAAATAGCGGACACATCAGTGTAAAGAGGATGCCAATTTTAGTAGTGGAATAAACCACACTTTATCCAAGATCTACTAATTTAAGGTAGGAGACTTGGGTCAATGATGTCATATCTATTTTCATTGCCAACAACTCCAAGGTATTTCACAATCACCATGCAACTGCCTGGGACATACCATTATGCCACAGGGAGAGATGTATGTATCTCAAATTGTGCTGACAACGCAATCCAGTGACTGTATCAGTAGTCTAAAATAGGTGATTTTCCGTACAATTGCGAGATCTCGCGAGATGCATGAAAGACGCGCGTCGAACGTCTGCCGCAAAAATCGAACGATTTGATTTTGAACTAGAATTTCTTTATTTCGTAGCTTACATTGACCGGCCGATCTTCGACAGAGGAATATTGCTTCCGAATACCCTTACTTAATCGAAATTGCCTATCATCAAATGTGGACAGCACATTATTAAGCATGGAAATGTCCCCGAAATACTTTCGCGTTTGTCGAATCCCACGCGATGTTTGACGCGACTACGACGCTATGACCTTTGTTTGTCCTGTTTTTACGTTCGATTTCACGCATAACGCGTGATTCTCGCAGTGTACGGAAAATGGTCTATTAAGCATGTGCAATGGGTTGTTGCAAAGTATCCAAACATGAGTGTTTTTCATTCACACAGCTATGGCTCTGTACTTTTTACTTACAGTTTATGTCACAATATTATAGTATAAGATTGTTTAAACTATGTTATTATTTACGTATGCCTGAGCATTTTTACAGATTGAAGGTATGCCGAATCATATAATGATCATTAAAATTAAAATGATCATTAACACAACATTATAATCATTCAATTAGGTCAAAAAGTTTGAATAACAACGAGAGTTTATTCCGTTGTTTGGTTTTCACTTTAAATTTGGTAAACTGCCAATTACAGAACAATTTGTTATATTTGTATGTTAAAGCTAATAACGCAAGGTATGTCAATGTAACTGAATGTAGACCATACTTGTTTTATAGAAGAAGTGAACTTTAAATGAGTTGCTCTATATAATATTAAATTGTCTTGCACCACTAATTAATGTAGTTCTGGAAGTGCAGATAATGATGCTTGATTTGTTGTTTCTGTTGTACATTGAAATAACAGTGGGCAAAATGTTTATGCACCTTTCAACGCGCATCAGCACATGTGACTTAGTTATATTCAAAATGTCTGTGCAGCGATCAGAACCAACCTTGTTTAAATACAGGATTTAGATTATGGAGAATGCGATGTTTCACCAGGGATAACGCGTTTTGCATTGATCTGTCAATAAATCAATCGTTTTACTATATCCAGCAATTTGTTTAATTGGTATAATAGTTTTCCTCTCCTCCCTCTATCTTTCCTCACTTACACAAGTGGACAAAAAAAGTTTAGTAACAAGTATTTCATCCTTTGTACACACTCGCAACAGCGCGTATTTTTTTTCATTTTAACAGGGGTACTTTTAAAAGTACGACATTAGTTTATTATAAATCATTGCGTTAACATTATTATTCTTTTATATAGGATCGATAGACGAAGGCATCATTGACACTCTTTGTGAAAAGTATTCTAAGATAGCAAATACAGTCATAGAACCTGCGTTAAGTGGAATAGATGATTTTAAAGAGCGTGTGAAAACACATCAAGATAAATGGTCTGGAGTCACTTTTGACTTCCGGGGGCAAACTATTGAGGATTATCTAGAAAAGTTGGATGAACTTCAAAAATATGACGTCATTCATGCATTACATTGCGTGTATCACTTCGCAGATCCACGTAATAGTCTGGTTACTCTGTACGGGATGCTGGATACAAATGGTTTATTTATAATAAGAGCTAATACAGGTAATGTACCTAATTATAACCCAATTAGTAGTGACCATTGATTAAACTACTAAAAAGATAAGTAATTATGTTTTATATAGTGTCATCTTTTATAAAAAAAAACCTGTGTCTTACATGTATGCACATTCTCTTCCATGTAGGACACTGGGAAGATTGCGCATTGAAAATCGGCGAATACTACCACGACCCACGTAGCCATTACATAGGGACAAAGTATATTAAGACATTGTTGCGTTCAGCTTTACCATCTGCAAATATAGAGTCTTACTACACCGAATCACCACTGAACGTGAGCGATTGCTTCAATGACGACTCCGTAGATGGGAATAAAAAAATTGATTTCATCTTCCAGGTTTTGAATTTTCGTCAAAGTCTACCTCCTGAAAAACAGCAGATTTTTCTCGACTTTTTGAAAAAATGCTGCAATGAGGAAAACGGTGAGATGATCTTCAACAAACAAGATGAAGATTTGGTTATTTATTAAGTAACACTACTGTAGCTTGAATAAAATAAAATATAAATGCTATATATAATAGCTAGCTAAAGCAAATTAGAAATATGGCAACGACAGGGTGGGTTCATTCCTGTCAATTAGCTTTATTTATGTCGTTGATACATAAGAATTGGGAATACGTATTATTTGCTGATTCAATTTCAAATGTAAGAAGCAAATATTGATGAACTTTTATTGTAGTGTATTGTACGATTTACGGTAAATTTAACTGGGGTTATATGCACGCAAAACAGGAAAAATAGTGAAGCGAAAAATAACTTGTTTATAGCGCAGACAATATAACTATCAAAAAACAATTAATGCAAAATAAATGAAATTATATTCTGCTAATAATGTTTCACAGTATGTCTGTAGAGCTGATACCCCTGGTGGCCTACGCATTATCAGTTGTAATGGAAGAAATGTTTAATGCAAAACATATATATAGCACATCTTGTAAGTGTTTCTACGATATTGGATTTAGTTACTGTCTATAGTCATTCTCATACAGTAGGGTCAGTGAGAAAATTATTGTTAATCTCTGTAATTATAATTATTTATATCTACATTAAATAATTTTAAAATAATACTGCTATTTTTATGTAACCATCATCAATCTCAAATTGAAGGAAAATAGGACCATTTTCTACCTAACCTACACTACTCAAGTTTAATCGATAAAATATAATTATTTATATATACATGGACCAGGTAAACATAAACAGAAAACCACCATTCTTAACACAATAGGCGCCAAAGTGTTATCAACAACTCAACTACTTTCGGGAGAAGTGAAATAGATGGGATGGATTGTCTATCATTTTTCACAAGATGTTCTGTAATTAAAATGTGTTATAGAAACAATCAGGCCAGTAAACAGAACGGAGATGCCATGTTTCTTTTCAACGTTTTATTTGACGTTACGTAACAGTGATGCAACGAATAAAATTATAAGTTTCGAAAATGAATACAAAGATCCACAACAATCCGAGTTTGACTTCAAATACAGTGTACATGCCAGTATATGCTTACATATGAATTTGCGCTATATGATACATTCACACTGCCTAACAAAGTGCATGTAAGTCAGTATGAAACAAATATAACAACACCTTACGCTTTAAATTATTTCATCACAGAGTCATATGCCCTATATAAGTCCAGTGTTATAAAGTTTCTTTTTTGCACTCTGTACATGATATATTCGTATATATTCTGTGTCGCATACGACTTGTTTACCAATTCCGTGTGACTGAGAATGTTCTAGAACCGTACTGTGTCTGGGTGGAATTTTTAGAAACTGGTTGAATAGGTAATAGAACACTGTATGAGGCAATAGAAGGTAATGGAACATTCTAGAAATTTGTAGTAAGTTCCAGACTCATTATGTATGCTGATGTAATGGTCTATTTATAGACAGTGTGGGTATACAGGGAAGTTGTTCAGCACTGAGATCAGATCGGAGATCTCGTTGAATTGTATTGGAGTTTAAGTATCTAGTCATTGGAGTAGTGGAGTTTTACCGCGTTATTGTACTTGATGTTTGCAGAGTATAATAATACCAGTACCAGTTGAAACCTCATCTGTTGGCTCCGTGTTCGTATGTTATCATCGCCGCCAGGGAAGTCTTCTGTTACTGTGTTACTATGAAATACTTAATAAAAACTGACGCAAATTAATTCTCCACTGTCCACTGATGCATTCATTTATGTTTTATTTGTTCTGACTGACATTCATGTTACACAACTGGTTTGTCTGAACCTCAAATTACTCCTTTTTATTGAACTCCATTTAAAGAAACATTTTTTGAGCATATGCGGTCAATTCATTAGGGTAAGGAACCAAAAGTGACATGCTCCTAATAGAATGAGAAGATCTACTGGCTAAGTAATTAAATGAAATAATTAAAATGATACAAATTCACTGTACTACATATAATCTACAGCCCCATGCAAAATAAAGTGGATGGTTTGTGCTATAACAACCTGTAAGGAAACCACGAATGATATGTTTTTTAATAGAATGAGAACATCTAATGGCGAAATAAATATGATAAATGTTCAGAATAATATCATTTCATTGAATTGCATATAGTTTATAGTCCCCATGTCAAATAAAATACATTTAGTGACATTAGTGATTGGTTTGTACTATAACGGCAAGTAAGGAAACCAGGAACGATAGATATCTAATGGCGAATTAAACAAATGAAATGTTCAGAATAATGTTCCTGTGTCAAATTAAGTAAATACAGCAACGATAGTGGGTGGTGTGTGTTATGTAAGAGAATCAATAACGACAAATCTAATGGAAATAAACCTTTGATTTGTTCAAAAAGGTGTCAATGCATTATACTACATATATTGTATTGATCCCATGTCAAATAAAGTAAACACTGTGACGTTAAGGAACTTGTGACTTGTAAGGAACCAAAAACGACATGAGAATTTCGAATGGCGAATTGAAAACTCAAAATGATACAAATTCACTGTACTACATATATTCTAATGCTTCTATGTCATGTAAAGTAAATACAGTGACGTTAGTGGGTGGTTTGTGATATAACGACCTGCATAGAAACCAAGAGCAATATAAATTAAACGATCGTTTAGCGAATTAAATAATTGAAATGTTAAAACCGTTGCACAATAATATATATTTATAATCAGCTATATGCCTCAAAATAAATGTAACATGAATATGTGCACCTCTTCTACTAAAAACGCATAATAGCATAATAGCAACTGATCGGACGCATTTTATTCAATTCGCAAACAGCCCGGGCGTGTATAGTTACAAGGAATTATTTGTGAGTAGATCAAGGTTGTCGCTTTCACAATTGTCGCTTTCACAAAAATGGGTTTCTAACGAGTAAATCCACTCGGAATGTTTAGCAAAGTCGCTAAACCTAATGGCGTCTGCCGTATATATCATGTATCGAATTCAGGTGATGCAGTTCAGCTTATGCTGAGTTGATAACATGATCACTATCTAATAGAACGCTCTCTAGTTAAACGAACGCGCTCTAATGGAATGCCTCGCGCTAAGATCCTCTCCATACACAGAGTAACTGCACACACCCTAAAAAATGTTATCATCAAATGCGAAAACCTTCAACAGTTGATTGGAATACTATTTTAATTTAGGCGACTTATTTTAGAAACATTGAAACTTGAAATATTAATATGAAATGGATGTACAAATACACGTTTAGGTAAGGCATTTTAAAATGTTGTTTTGTTTTGACATAATAATGACTGTGATTATAGATTTTTGAACAAATGATAACATAATTAGTCTATTTACGGTCATCTTCATTCATATTTCGCTCATCATAAAATTTATTACATTTATTTTTTATTATGCAAAACCAAGTTGAGATAATAAGTATAGCATTCATATAATGCTGGGATCGTATAATAAAACTCAATAATTCGTGTTATACAACCTGGACAAGGTACAAATTAATATAAAATTATGGTAATATTATTCAAAATAACTAAGGAAGTCTAACATGTATCTAAATATGTCTTTGCACGAGATCACTTATTGCCAATGAGAATTCAGCTTTAAAATTAAGTCAGTAAATGTCGTGATTCTACAGTATTATCTGTGTGCTGATAGGGCGACGTGGACGGCATTGCTCGAGTAGGCTAGACCCAAACCCAATTTTGGCGGTAATTAGCATTCCAAAAAGAAGAGGCAGAAACAGACCTGGGAATGTCCAAGGAGGGCTGATGGGAGAAACTTCTCTGCACAAATCTGTAGCCGAGACTGCTCTATCACCTATGCGCTGGTCATCCGGTCTGGGTCAACAATCACAGTCTGACCCACGATACTGGGACCCACCCTAAAATACCCTCCTCAATTGATTGCCTGTTTCATAGGTAATAATTGATAAAGACATTTTGCGTTCTCCAGAAGCCTGCCCTAAGCAAGTGTTTAAGGGGGCATCTGACGCAAGAGCTAATGAGTTAGTGATCATACAAACCTCATGCACTCATACTTGGTGTCTCTGTAGACCCTGTGCCGAGGACACTAGACGGTCATAAACCTCAAACACTGTCAAAGTGATCCACATAGAAATGGAAGGCTTGTCTGTCCTGCTTACATGTGTTTACTGCCTTGCCTCAACTCCCTAGTACGGTTTGTAGTAACTCAATGCTCGAACCGGGCAAAGAAGCAATTCTTCTTGATCCTCAGTGTCTACAATGTTGGCCAGACGGGGATGACAATCGACCATGGATTGTGTCCTGGGATTTGGTTCTTGGTGAGAAACACGATTTGTGTCTTTAGCACAGCTTGATTGTCCATAAAGGTGGCACAGCCGTTCGAGGAGGACAAGGCCCCTAGTAGACGTCTACCAGAGGCGAGAGCTAGTAACTAGTTTTCCACGTCAAATATTTTAGTGGTGCTGATCCCAGAGGCTTAAGGGTAGTCTGCTCAAAGTGGACAATACAACTGACAAGTCCCAATTTGGCAGTTCCCTTGTACGTCTAATAGGTGTGCTCCCCAACATGTGAGAGAGGCATTTGTTATCAGAGTCATAGCCATGGCAAGTGGATCCAGGATAAGTGGTCCACCAGGGTAAGGCATTCTTTGCTTGGTCTGAGAAAGTTTCTCGCCTGTCCAGTTCCTGTAGGTGAGCCAGGTGCTCAAGTCTGGTGAGGCTAACCAGTTGAAACGGAGCACAGAGATTAAAATAGTGCTTGGTGTTTCCAGAGCAGCACATACTGATTTAGTCTGCTTAAGTCCAGAACTGGACGCCAGCCACCTGTAGTCTTTGGGACCACAAACACTTATGAGTAGAAAACCTGACTTATCGCCTGGTCCTTTATCATGTATATATGTAGCGCTCTTTCTAAGCAAACTGTCTACCTCCTGATGGATTTCTTCTGCTTTGCAGGGACCCCCTGACAGTGCCCCCAATGGGGGCTGCTGACCGGGGAGGTGGAGATTGCAGCAGAATCTTGTAACCATGTATCACCACC